AAGAAATAAAGATAAAATCCTGGTAAGTCAAGAAATATGTATGTATGTATATATATGTATAACATCTATACATATGTTATATATGTATATTATATACATATACATAATATTATATACATATACATAATATACATATAATATGTGTGTATAATATATATAATATATATATATGTATAACATGCACCCATGTTATATATAATACCAAGATGTAAAGGAATCCTCAAAAAGTTGAAGAAACAGAAATGATTTTAGGGATGCCTGGCCCTGGGGTGGGAATGGGGCACCTCTACATCCATCCTTGGCTCTTCCTTACATGTTACCACTTTGATAAAAAAATTTTTTTTAATAATAAGAAACTCCAGTGGAGTATAAAATTAGTTTCAACTTTAAACACTAACTTTTCCAGCCCCTGAGAGGACTGAGCAAGGCTTTTGTACTTGTGCAGTTAGAATCCCTGGGTCAGGTTTGTAAGCAAGCCTCCCCTCCGACTCAACACCCAACTCCCACCCCCCATCCCCCCATCCCCCCCACCCCCGCCCTGACTGACTTCAAGTTCCAGGGTGAGAGGCTCCTTTTCCAAGGATGCTGGCTGGCTGGGCGCTGCTCGGGGCTGGGAGGCGGCGCCGCAGCGCCCTCTGCTGGATTCACTGCGCTGTGCCTTCCGTCCTAACTTCAGGGCACCAACCTCTCAGGCAAGTTTTCCTGAACTTCATCACCTTCAGAAGCGTCCCCGATGTCTTAATTTTAAAATGCAGTGAACACTTGGGAGGCTCCACTTTGAATCAAGTTAACTTAATGTATAATATCAGTGGGCTTGTTCAGATCCTGTTTACTAGCTAGGGGGTTTTGAGGATGGCCTTACACAGCAAATGTTCATATGTATTCTTTTCCACAATACTCAGAACTCCACGCCTTTTAGCAGTCAGTCTTACATACGTCTGGCACCCTCTCAGGAGCTCCATGAGATCAAAATTGTTTTCATGGGCTTCCCTGATGGTCCAGTGGTTAAGAATCCACCTGCCAATGCAGGGGACACAGATTCAATCCCTGATCTGGGAAGATCCCACATGCTGTGGGGCAACTAAGCCTGTGTGCCACAACTACTCACTGAGCCTGTACTCTGGAGCCCACAAGTCAAACCTGCTGAAGCCCGTGCACCTTAGAGCCTGTGCTCGGCAATAAGAAAAGCTACCGCAATGAGAGGCCCTTGAACCACAACTGGACAGTAGCTCTGGTGGCTTATTCGGTAAAGAGTATGCCTTCAGTGCGGGAGACCTGGGTTCAGTCCCCAGGTTGGGAAGATCTCCTGGAGTAGCACATGGCAATGCACTCCAGCATTCTTGCCTGGAGAATCCCCATGGACAGAGGAGCCTGGCGGGCTGCAGTCTATGAACACATGAAATGCTATTTTTCCTTGAAAGGATGACAGACAAATTATGATTATTCAGACTTGGAGATCTGGCCCACATTTTCTCAAAAATGAAAGGCTGTGAGCCTGACACATCCAGGGAAACAACTGATGGATTTTATTGCCAATATGTTCTACAAAAAAAGAAAAAAGTAGAACTTTGGAAAACTGGTATCTTGCTGAAATGGCTGGATGTTTTCGATATTGTATGATGAAATGTGTCAGTATTTGGAAGATCTGCAAACTTGGTGAACCAATATTTTCCAAGTGACCGGTGCACAGTGTTACAAAACCAGGCATGTGAGTAAAAAGATTCATTCAAATTTTAAGTGAGACTAAAGTTTTTTTTAATTATATAGTTTTTATTGAGGTGAATTTCACAGAACATAAAAATGCACCATTTTAATTATGTAAAAGGGTACAAACCAGTGGTATTTGGTACATGTTCACAATGTTGTGTAACCATTACCCTACCGAGTTCCAGAACATTCTCATCACCCTGTACCAGTTAGTAGTCACCCTCCCCCGCCACCCCATTCCTTCCTCCTCCAGCCCCCGGCAACTGAACTAACCTGCTCTCTGCCTCCATGGGCTCACCTGTTCTGGACAGATGGAGCTCCTCACACGTAAACCCTCACACGTGGCCTTTTATGTCTGGCTTGTCTCACTGAGCATCATGTTTTCAAGGCTCATTCACATTGTAACATGTGCCAGTGCTTCACTCCTTTGGGGGCATGAATAATATTATATTGTATGTGTGGACCATATCTTGTTTATCCATTCATCGATGACCGACATTTGCATTTCTCTGCTTTCTTGTCATTATGAATAATGCTACTATGGGTAAGTTTTTGTTAGAACACCTGTTTTCAATTATCTTGGGTCTAATGGCATTGTTGGGTCATGTGGCTTAACCAAATTTATGTTTAACAAATGTTTACCACAGTGGCTGAACCATTTTGCATTTCCACCAGCAATGGACAAGGGTTCCCAATTCCTCCCCATCCTTGCCAACACTTGTCATTAATATTTTTCTTTTTTCTTTTACTACCATCCTCGTGGGTATAAAGTGGTACCTCATTGTGGTTTAGTTTGTATTTCCCTAATGACTAATGATGTTGAGCATCTTTTTATGTGCTTATTGGAGACATATCTATTCTAGACTTTTGCCCATTTTCTAATCAGGTCATTCTGTCATTTCGTTTTTGAGTTGTGAGAGTTCTTTATAATATTCTGGATATAGGCCCTGATTAGATATATGATTTGCAAATATGTTCTCCCATTCTGTGGGTTGTCTTTTTAATGTCTTGATAGTGTTCTTCATTGTATAAAAGTTTTTAATTTTGATGAAATCAAATTTATCTTTTTAAAAGTTTTTACCTTTTTTTTTTTATTTTACTTTAGGTGTCATATCTAAAATCCCCAAATCCAAGGTCATGGAAATAACGTTTTACCTGATTACTTCAGGTTTTGTTCTCTAAGGGTTTTGTTCTTTTAGCTCTTATATGTAGTTCTTTGATCCATTTTGAATTGATTTTGGTATATGCTGTGATGTGAGGGTCCCACTTCATTCTTTTGCATGAGGCTATCTATTTATTCCACCATCATTTGTTGAAAAGTGTCTTCTTTCTCCATTGACTGGTTTGAGCACCCGTATTGAAAATATTAACCCTGGATGTATGGGTTTATCTCTGGATTCTCAATCCCATCCCATTGTTCTCTCTGTCTATTCTGTTCTGGTACTGCACTACTTTGGTTACTGACTTTGTAATCAATTTTGAAATGAGGACTTGTGAGTCTTCCAACTTGGTACTTCTTTTTCAAGATTGTTTTGGTACTTGGGGTCCCCTGCAATGCCATGTGAATTTTAAGATCAACTGATCCATTTGAGAAGGCACCTGGACACTGTGTAGGGAATTTTGATAGAGACTGCATTGTGCCTATAGATCAGTTAGGAGAGTATTGCCCTCTTAATGGGCTTCCCATGGCTCAGAGGTTAAAGCATCTGCCTGCAATGTGGGAGACCTGGGTTCGATCCCTTGGTCGGGAAGATACCCTGGAGAAGGAAATGGCAACCCACTCCAGTATTCTTGCCTGGAGAATCCCATGGACAGAGGAGCCTGGCGGGCTACAGTCCACGGGGTCGCAAAGAGTCAGACACGACTGAGTGACTTCACTTTCACCCTCTTAATAGTAAGCCTTCCAGTCCATGAACATAGGATGTCTTTGTTCCGATCATCTTTAAGTTCTTGAAATGTTTCATAGCTTTTTCAGTATACAATTATTTCACCTCCTTGATGAAACATATTCCTAGGTATTTTATTCTCTTTGATACTATTTCAAATAGGATTGTTTTCTTCATTTCATTTTGCTATCATTCATTGTTTAAAATAATTGATTTTTGTATATGCATCTTGTATCTTGCAACTCTGGTGCTGATAGTTTTTTTGTGTGGATCCTTCAGAATTTTCCATATTTAAGATCATGCTATCTGTAAACGGAGGTAGTTTTGCTTTTTCTGCTTCCATGTGGATGCCTTTTATTTCCTATTTCCTATTTATTTCCTATTTCCTTTTATTTCTATGACCCTGGCTAGAACTTCCAGTACAATGTCAAATAGCAGTGGTGAGACTGGACATTCTCAGCCATGGTCAAAAGAGGTGGTGGGTGAAGCAGAAGCCCCTCGTTCCTGAACACGGCTCCAGGAACTGGTCCATCTGTACTTTCTGAATGCACTGGGCCTGGTTTTTACAGAAGCATCTCTGTGGTCTTTGCCTCCCCTGGGTGCTGAAGGGTCATTTCTTCCAGCAGAGCTCACGTTTGCATTTTCCATGAAAGAGTTGGGCTCAGATGTGGTGGTTGCCACACATGACCTTTGTACAGACCTGTCGTGGCCCCTCAGCCCTCACCTCTGAGAGGCCTGAGATTCTATCTCAGAAGCCCTCTCCCAGGAAGGGCCCCCTTGTAAACTGCACATGAATCCCTGCCACTCGGTCCCATCTCTGTGGCCCCAGGAACCTGTGCCCCCCGATGGCAGGACTGGGGTCGTGGCCTCATGGTGTTCTCCCAAAGCCTGCAGCCAGGAGACCTGGGCGTTGCAACATGACAGGCTGACCTGGAAATCAGTGCCACAAACTGTCCCCACCATCAGTGGTCCTCTGGTTCTCCCAGCGCACGTGACGGGTGTGGGGAGCAGCAGGCGGTTATTATGCTGACTTCGCTTAAACTTGAACTTACACAGCCACTAAGCCTTCTTGTTGTGCATGCTCACATGCAGACTCGTTAAAACTTGGCTGCCCATGTAGACCAGCCCGTGTAGACAGGAGGACCCCACCTGCTGCTGGTGTCTGATGGGCTCTGGGCGCCTTCGCATGTGATGAAGTAACTCTCCGGGCTGAGGCTTCACTACCCCCTCACAATCCATCCCTCACCTAACCCATCCCCTGCCTATGTCCAGCCTGGTTTCTATTCCATAGGCACGCGGATCTTTGTTTGGATATTAATACAAACAAATCTTGGCTGATGCTAACTATCTGATTTCCTTTTTTTTTTTTTTTCCATTTTGTTTTGTTTCTGCGCACATTTTCTTTAGCTTGAAATGGCGATTGAAAACCTCCAAAAAAGCGAAGGGATCACCTCTCACAAAAGCGGTTTACTCAACAGCCATGTAAGTGTGCGTCGACCTGCTGGTCTGCCCTGCTCTGCCTGTCACCTACATAGGCATTTTAAAATGAAACAGGGCATTCCCTGGTGGCCATGACCACAGGTTCAATCCCTGATCCCAGAACTGAGATCTGGCAAGCTGTGCAGTGAGGCCAAAAAAAAAAAAGAAAGAAAGAAAACAATGAGTTGACACCTTTAAAGTGCCAAAAAGGGGAAGGGGGAAGCCAACCTAGAATTCAGCAAAAATATCCTTCTAATGCGAAAGGAAATCAAGATAGACTCTTCCTTTGTGAGAGGAGAATAACGACGCCTCCCTCCTGGTGGGACAGGGATTAAACTACTTAGTGTACCTAACATCCTGCCCACCAGGCCTGGCAGAGGATAGCACTGTAAATAAATTCATACTCAAACAAGCCACCACCAAAAAATGACACCGGATTTTATGGGGGCTGCCATAAAAGTTCTTGGCTAATTCTGTGATTAGCTCTTTGGAAAAAAAAAAAATGGTAATTTGAAGGACTTCCCTGGTGGTCCAGTGGCTAAGACTCCAGGCTCCCAAGGTGTCATAGGTTTGATCCCTAGTCAGGGAAATAGATCTGACACAGTGTGGCCAAAAAAAAAAAGGTAATTTGAGAAAGGGCAAATCAACTAAATCCTACTGATTTTAGCCGCATAAGACCCTTCTCTGATGGGCACACTGGTCACAGGCTCCAGGCCAGGACGGTGAAGTGGCCATGCCTCCCACTGGCTTTTCGGGGCGGGACGGGGGGCAGGAGGGGCTGACAGCACAGAGGCTCAGCTTCCCCGGGCAGTTGAGGAGGGAAAGCGCCCATCTCCCCCACACTCCCCCCTGTTCCCGTTACCTAAACTCTCTGAATTCAACTTTAACATAACTGGAAATTGGTTCAGCATTTTGAAGGAGGGACAGGTGGCAGCAATCAAAACGTGCTTTCGGCATGTTTTCTCAGGCACTTGGCTTGGGATTGGACGTTCCTTGGAGAATTAAAACATCAAAGAGAAGAAATCCCCATTAGTCAAACCCGACCCCAAACATGACCCCACCAAGACTTTTATACCGGCTGAAGTTCAAAGTGAACTGTTCCTGCCGGGGGCTGGTGGGGGGACAGAAGCCCCACCCACTAGGGAAAGATCCAGAAACTTCTAGGTTTGTGGAGGGGCAGGTCACAGGCGTGGCCAGCAGCTGCAGCCCCCAGTCTGAACCTCTGAGGAAAAGCAGCCTTAGACTCCAAGCAGAGCGAGTAGAGTCGGCAGGGCACATTCTCTGCTCTGGGACCAGGGCTCTTCAGCTCTGGAGCGGACAGCGCAGCAGCCGCACGGCCTGCGAGGCCCAGCGCTCGAGAGGCAGGAGGAAGGCCGGGTGGGCGTGGCCCCGGGCGGGGGGCGTGGCCGCGGGAAACCGACAGTGTACGCGAAACGCAGGCGCCGCTGTCTCTGGCCGCAGGGCTGCCTTTGACTTTCTGACGGTTCTCCTCTGGGAGGTGGGCTTGCCTTGGTTGCTTCCCCCAAACTAGCATCCATTCCTGAGTTTAAACTCCGAGCAGGAAGAACCTCTCTGTGTCCGTTTTCTCCCTGCTGGCTTGTTGAGTCGTTTTCTTCCATCGGGAGCTTGAGAAGTAGGATCTGGGGCTTGGCGGCTCAAAGAGGAGAGGAATAAGGTCTCTGCAAAGAGTGACCCTCGCGCGCTCACTGGTGGAAAACCGCCAGGAGCTTGTCTGGGCCGGGAGAACGAGGAGAGAGCTGGGGTGTGGCCTGGCGACCGGCGGCTGTGTGTCCTGCAGAAAGAGCCCTTCGTGGTCCTCGCCGGCCATGCTCACTGGAGACAGTTGACATGGGCGCCACCGACCGCAGTCCCCATGCCCAGGCAGACGAGCCTGGTGCGGGGCAGCGAGATGCCCAGACCCCAGGAAGGCTGACCTGTGCTTTCCAGACCCATTCCGACGTCAGGGTCACCTGAGCTCCCCAGACTGCCCTGGGGGCTCGGACAAGGGGGTGTGTGGGTTGAAGGGACCTTCTGGCCTGGTGTGGGAGCCCCCGAGAGAGAAAGTGGGCCCCAAGGCACCTCTGAAACGGGGAGGAGCGGTTATTTGATGGCAGGAAACGAAGAACAGCTGTTTTGGAGGAAAGAGGCGCTGGGGATGGAGACACCGTTGCCCGCCAGGGTGTCTGCAGCTTCTGGGTGCAGTCACGCTGGCCAGGCACACACCACCCCCCAGGACTGGTCCCCTCTGCTGTCCCCCTATCTGTCTGGAGAAGTCCCCCACTCCTGCCACTCAGCGGCCCCTGTCGTGGGTCCCTGCAGAAGTGACCTTGGCCTACTGCGTAATCTACTATTCCTCCCCTGGGAGAAGGACCTGCTTTTAGGTGAATCATTCAGATTATATGACTTTGTTTTTTTAATCAAGAAACACATATCTTAAAAAATGATTTAGCCTTCAGTAGTGGCACCGTGACAGAGCCATGCCCTGCAGTCTGGGGTGGGCCTGGGCTGGAACTGGCAGCTTTGGGGGCTGGTCCTCTGCCCAGAAGCTGCTCCAGATCACGTGGCAAATGCCTCCAGCGGTGGTCGACATTGGACTGCTGTGTTTTGGAGTCTCTGAAACCCCCTCGTCACTCCCCTCAGCTGCATCCTCAAGTGTCCAAGGTGCCTGCCTGCCTGGAGGAGGAGCACTACGCAGGTGTCCCGGGCTGGGCCCCAACGCCCTCCCCTCCCTCCACCTTCCTGGCTCACCTAGGACAGCGAGCTCCTGCTGGGGCCTCTACCTTGCCTTCCCTCCTCCTGCCACAGCCACCCCCAGTGCGCCAGGACTGTGCCTTCAGAGCCACCGGGAATCGGGCTCCTCCTCCCACCCTCGCACCTCGGCCACAGCCTCTCACCCTACCCCCGGACATCGTAGCAGCTGCCTGCTAGCCAGCCCTTGCTCAGCTTCCAGGCCCTTCTTACGGCAGCTGACAGAGTGGTCCTGCTAAAAACCTGCGTCAGGCCCTGCCCTTCCTATGCGCACAGACTTCCAGAGCTCCCACCTCCTTGGAGTGAAAACCCGAGGCCTCCCCGTGGCCCAGAAGGCTCTGCGTGACCTGCCACATCCCCTCCCTGCCCTCCCTTTCTCTCTCCCCCTTACTCACTCTGCTTCAGCCACATGGGCCTCCCCACTGTTCCTCCAACACACCAGGCACAGTCCTGCCCCAGGGCTTTGCACGTGCTTTACCCTCTGCCTGGGACACCTTCCCTCAACTCACTCCCTCAGCTCCTCCCCCCTGCCCCGTCGCTGGAGCTCCCAGCTCCCTCTCCTGGATTTTCCCCATAACAGCACCAGCTCTCACTTTGGGCATTTTACTTATTTTTTGTGGGTTGATCCCCCAACGAGAATGGGCGCTTCTGGAGGACAGGGGGCTTTTGTCTATTTTGTTCACAGTTGTATCCCTAGCACCCAGGGCAGGTGGGTGGATAAATGTGTGGGCTCAGTCACTTCAGTTGTGTCTGACTCTTTGTGACCCCATGAACTGTAGCTAGCCGGCCAGGCTCCTCTCTCCATGGAATTTTCCAGGCAAGAACACTGAAATGGGTTGCCATTTCCTATTCCTGAGGATCCTCCCAATCCGGGGATCTAGCTGGCAAATCTTGCATCTTCTGCATTGACAGGCAGATTTTCTACCACTAGTGCCACCTGGAAAGCCCGGGTGGATAGAAGGTCAGATTCAAAACTGAATTATATGAACAGAGTGAGGGTGGCTCAGGAGCCACAGTCAGGAGTGTTTGCTCCCAAGAGTGGAAAAAATATCCTGAAGGACAGAGGGTCTGGGTGGGTGGGCAAGTCTGGTCATCGAGCCCCCGCCCCCTGTTTATAGGTTAGAAGCACAGGTGTCCAAGGATCCTGTGCCACCAGGGAGCCCAGAGCCACCGGGGGTGTTGGGTTCTGTGGCTTTCCTCATTAAAAAAGGGATTTGACCATATCATCAAGAAGAGTGCAATCCGGACAGATCACAAACGTGGCTAAAAACGTACTTTTCCTGGAAAAGATTCTCTGTTTTATTTGCTACTGACATAGAAATTGTGCAAATATCGGCAGAGAAAATGGCAGCAGAATCACCCAGAACCAAAAGGTGATCCTGTCACCCTCTCACTGTGCTTTCATGAAGGTGCTGGGACCCCAGTGGTGGGTTTGCCGTGGGCGAGGCAGAGCTGTGTAGGGGGGAAACTGGGCCTCCTGGTCGTATAGTGTCACTGACGAGTGATGCTCAGCGGGTGGAGATGACGCCAGGTTGCAGCATCTGGCAGTGAGCCTGCATAGACCCCGCGGTGCTTGCTCAGGCTGCAGGTGAGGCTCTGCCTTCACAGAGCCTCTAGGCCATCCCCCAACCTGAGCACAAAACTTGGCCAATTGTCATCTTCTCTCTCTCTCTCTCTCTCTCTCTCTCTCTCTCTCTCTGGGTCGTGAGTACAGGGACATCAGTGATGTTCCCTTACCCTGGGCATCATGCTGCTGGACCGTCGACCTCTCCTTCATCCATCTTTCTCTTGGCATCAGATGATCTCTGTCCCCATGGGTTTAGGAAATGTTTGGTGTGTGGGACCTGGGGGGCTTTCAGTGATTATGAAGACAGATCCTAAGTTCCTCCATCACGTTCAGGTTTTTATAAATTAAGTCAGGGAACCTGAAAGTCTGGCTAGAAATGGAGGGAATAAATAAATGAGTAAACAGAAGCTACTGATTGATGAGTGTGCCCCAGGTCTCTTGACCCCGAGTTGGTGATGGTAGCCGTGAGTCCCCGGCCAGCGTGTGACGTGTGACGGTCCCGGTGGGTGTGTGTCAGCATCAGGCATGTCTTCTCCATCCAGCTGCAGTGGCTCCTGGACAATTACGAGACCGCGGAGGGCGTGAGTCTCCCCAGAAGTTCACTCTACAACCACTACCTGCGGCACTGTCAGGAGCACAAGCTGGACCCAGTGAACGCCGCCTCCTTTGGGAAGCTAATCCGCTCCGTGTTCATGGGCCTGCGGACTCGGCGGCTGGGCACCAGGTGGGTCCCTGGGGGAGGCTGGCAGCCCCTGACCTGCCTGCCTGCCCACCCCCTTCCCTTATCCAGACACCCAGCTTTCAGAGAATGCGAGGCACCCTCCTCTCCACACCTCCCGATGTCCACAGCTCCAGGTGCACCTGGACTTGGTCTGAATGGGCAGCAGCCAGGCCACCCCCAGTGGGGAGGGCCAGTGGTCACTCACCTCCTGGGGACAGGACACAGGCTTCCCCTCAGCTCTCACTCTTCATTGGAAATTTTTCATGGTAACCAACTTTTTAAACAGCAGCCTCCAGGCTGTCTAGCAGAGTGGGATTCACCATGTCTTGGTGCTTTTTGCTGAGCCTGGACTGGCCCACTGAGGGCTGCCCTTGGGTGACAGCAGCCAGGGACCGTCATGGGCAGGAAACTTTCCCCACAAGAGAAATCGGGTCCTCCTGCAAGAAAGAGCTGTGCTATGCTCCAAGCAGCAGCTTGGCCCATCTGTGAGGCCACCCTGCGTGGCCCTGGCCCGCGGCCCGCGGCCCTCCAGGGTGAAGGAACATGCATGTGGGTGTCAGGGTTCACCTGCACCCTCTGTGAAACTGGCATCCTGGAGAGTTCTCTGCCACCCTGGGATCCTTGACAGAGGAGATTCTTACAAGCCATGAATGGGTTGGGGGGAGGGGCAGTTGGCCCTGGTTTCAGGGACGTGACCACCCCGCCCCGGGCCTTTCTGGAAGGCTCCTGGGGCCTCCACCTTCCCAGGGTCCTGGAAGCTGCCTCAAGACTGGGGCTCCATCCCCCTGCTCACCACCTCTCAGCACTGGAAGCAGGGTGTTTGCAAGGCCATGTGTCTGTTCTTCCCTCCCAGGAGTCCCTTCTGACCTGTCTCCTTAAAGAAATTGTTTAAAACCCTTCGATCATCATTTCCCCTATAGTAAACTAAGGTAGAATCTCCCAGAGAGCAAAGTCTTTACAGAATTTCCTGAACCTCTCTGACCACGGACCGGTCTGTGAACACTCCCCACACGGTCCAGGGAACACAGGCCCCGAGAGCCCTCCCCGAGAGGGAGGAGGCCGGGGCAGAGCCCTAGTCTCACGGTTCAGGACATGTGAGAAGAGAGCTGACCCAGATGTTCGGTTCCCAGGGGCAACTCCAAGTACCATTACTACGGGATCCGCCTGAAGCCAGACTCGCCCCTGAACCGGCTGCAGGAGGATACGCAGTACATGGCCATGCGGCAGCAGCCGGTGCATCAGAAGCCTAGGTGGGTGAGCTGTCCCATGCCGGCCTGAGGACCAGCCAGCCTGCCTGCGAGTTTTCACTATGGGGAATGGAGGGAGGGGGTTTCTGGGCCATTGACCACATCCAGGAGGTGGATGAAGGTCAGCCTTTCACTTCCACTTGGCTTGCAGTGAGGCCAGCAGGACACCTCTGATGCTGGGCCTTTGTTACGGTTGGTGAACCCACACAGATCTATCTTTGCCACCCCAGGTCCACAGCTGTCATTAGGGTTCACTCTGTGTGTGTACCTTCTGTGAGTTTGGACAGAGTTGTAATGACATGTGTCCACTATCATAGGATCACTCAGAATAGTTTCACTGCCCGAAAGACTCGCCCCGCTCTTCCTGTTGGTCACCCCTCCCCGTCAGCCTCCAGCAACAGCTGCTCTTTGTTTTACTTGCTCCTTTGTTTTTGCCTTTTGCATAGTGCGTAGAGTTAGAATCACAATCTTGCATTTTTCCTCCCTGTCTACAAAGAAGGAAAGAACATTGAACACAGCCCCAGAAGCAGGAAAAAGAGGCTTGTACACTGAAGTGGCTGCTTCTTCCTGACCTCTGGGTCTGATGGCTGGAAAGGCCTGGTCATTTTCTGGAATGTTCCCTGTGCATCACACACCTACTCGCCTTTTAAAGCAGGAATCAGCACAGTTTTTCTATAAAGGGCCAGAGAGTACATACCTACAGCTTTGCAGGCAGACACTATCTATGAAGTGTCTTCAGCTCTGCCTGTGTAGCACGAAACTCATTACAGACCAGGCGTGAAGGAATGGGTGTGGCCAGGTGGGGATCAAACTATATTTTCAAAATAGGTGGCAGAAATGGCCCTCTCACCGCCCTAGGTGGAGATACCTGGTTCAGGGCCCCCTGGAATGTCACCTCCCTGGCCCCTTCCAGTCACCCCTCTGCCCTGCTGTGTCCCAAGCCCCTTTCCAGAATCTACTCAGCTCCAGGGCAGGGGCGCACCCCACTCACCTCCACTTGGCACTATCGTGCCTTCATTGAGCTACATGGCTGACACCCCATTTTAGCTGCTTAAGGGGTCCAGGTGACTCCCAACCACATGGCCAATTACAGGAATTGGAGGTCACAGGAGGGAGTCCGGAATGTTCTCCGGAACCAGCAGAACCCTCCTGTTCCTGGTTTTCCCCAGACAAGGGGTCCAGCTTCCATTGTGGGGTTCAGGCCCCTGAGAGCACCTGGAGGATTTAGATGCATGTTTCACAGCGACAGGCTTGTGCCATTGGCATGGGGAGCCCATCCCCCAGTCAGGAGGTCCACGCACATCTGAGCCACGTCCTCCCACCTCCCAGCGAGCCTGGCCCCACATTCCACAAGGAGAGGAACTCCTACCTCAAGCTGGATCCCCCTGCCCATCTGGGCTCCAGACAGTTACCCCGGGAAGCCCTTCTCTGCTAGCTTCTCAGTTTGCTGCCTAGACAGGCTGTTCACTGCTTTCTGGCTGGGGGCAAAACAAAGTCTCAGAACTTGCTTTGAAATCATATAATAGACATTTGGGACCCTATGTAAAGAAGTTCACTTGTCTTCTAAGAGAGAACTATTAGAATATATACACATAAAAGCAACCCAGGGGTCCATCAACAGATGATGGCTGAACAAATGTGGTCCAATCACGTGGTGGAGTAGTATGCAGCCCTAAAAAGGGAGGGGATTCTGAGCCCTGATACAGCATTGATGAACCCCAAGGATGTGATGCTCAGGAAGAGAAGCCAGACACAGAAGGACAAACACTGTCTTTTCCACCCGCAGGAGGTCCCTAGAGTCAGATCCACAGAGACAAGTGGTAGATGGGACCAGGGGCTGGGGGAGGCGATGGGGAGTGAGTGTTTAAAGGAGACAGAGTTTCAGTCTGAGGAGATGAGAAACTTCTGGAGGTGGATAGTGGGGATGGTTGCCCAACAGTGTGAATGAACTTAATGCCACTGAGTTGTGCACGTGAAAGTGGTTCTAATGGTAAATTTTGTGTTTTCTATTTGACCACAAGTTTTAAAAAATTACACACCCTCCCGAACCAAATCCTGTTCAGCCCTCCAGCCCCTTCTGGGGACTGCCATGGGGGCCTCATGGTGGCTCGTGTGTTCCCTGACAGGTACCGGCCAGCCCAGAAGACGGACAGCCTTGGGGAGAGCGGCTCGCATGGCAGCCTGCACAGCACGCCTGAGCAGGCCATGGCTGCCCAGAGCCAGCACCACCAGCAGTACATCGGTGAGCCGCCCCCCGCCCCTACCTCCACCCCCACCCTGGCACAGGGCCTGCTGGGAAGGCTCCAGGGCCTCTCAGCACCTTTGGGGTGGGTTTCAGCACCAGCAGCATCTAAAGGACTACTTCAGACAGTTTTCTTTCCTACCACCTTTTCAAGTTCCAGTAGACCTTCTTTGTGGAATTGCTGAGGTTTTGAATTATCAGCATGTGCCTCCCATATTAATGGATATTAATCCCCCCAAAATGGAGTAAAATGACCATCAGAAAAAAATAAGTAAAATAAAATGAAATGCCCATCGGAAAGAAGACTAGATGTACTTTGAGTCTAACCCCTCTGAGCCTGGCCCCTCCCGGGGGCCCCAACACAGGGCAGCCTGGCCCTCTTCCCTGGGAGGGTGCTTCCCCAGCCCAAACAGTCACTGCTCCGGAGCAGCAAGAAAGCATCTTGACTCAGCCCACTTCCCAGGGCAGCTGGGGAAAGTGCACACACATCTGAAGACACGGGGGACTCTGTGCACTTCAGTATATGTTTGAGCCCCAACAGAACCCCCCCGAGTTAGGGCCTCCTGGAGAGGCTCTCACCCCACCCCACCAGCCGCCCCCTTGCTGGTGGGAATGGAGAGCTTGCTGTGTGCTAGGCCCTCTCCCCTCCTTTGTGTGTGTGTGTGTGTGTGTATGTGTGGTATGCATGTATCCTTAACATCACCAGGAGCTGACGAAGTCATCCCCACCCTGAATCTGAGAAAACCGAAGCTTAAAGGTTGTGTGGCAGAGAGGGGAGCCAACTCCACCTTTGGGGCTGCAGTGGGGCCATTAGCACATCCCACCAGTATCCCCAGCCTGCCGGCTTGCCAGCGGCTCCTGCACACCGTCCTCGGCCCTGCTGACCCCCACCTTCCTCCCCCAGATGTGTCCCACGTCTTCCCCGAGTTCCCGGCTCCCGACCTGGGCAGCGTCCTGCTGCAGGAGAGCATCACGCTGCACGACGTCAAGGCCCTCCAGCTGGCTTACCGGCGGCACTGCGAGGTGACTGCCCCAAGCCCGGCCCCGGGGCTCCAGTGGGTGCTTCGCTCAGCTGCATGGGGCCAGTGCCGGAGTATACCTGGGTGTCTCTGGTGGGCGACAGGGAGCAGACAGCACCAGCCTCCCTCCCTGTGGCCGAGGAGTAGATGGACTCTCCCTTTGTTCACCCCATCCCTTCTCATGGTCTCTCTGGGTTTGGAAAGACCCCACTGCAGCCCGGCTGCTTGCCCCTATGTTCTGATGACAGACACCTGCGCACATGGGTGTGTTTAACCAGCGCGTTTACTCCTAGGCCACTTTAGACGTCGTCATGAACCTCCAGTTCCACTACATTGAGAAGCTGTGGCTCTCCTTCTGGAATTCTAAGTCCTCTAGCGATGGTCCCACCTCTCTACCCGCCAGGTACTGCCTGCCCCTTGGCCCCCAGATGTGGCTTTCTTCACCAGCCCGGGTTTACCCTGCAGACTGCCCCCAGACACATGCTCTAGCTTTTCAAGAACTGGCGTTCAGACACCCTCGTGCGCATGTGGTCTCAGGGTGACCACGGGACGGGGAGCTGGCCTGCACGGGGCAGTCCTGCAGCCTCACCCGGCTCATTTATCCCAGGAGAGCCGCCCCTGAGCCAACAGCTGACCCGTGTTCCCTGGTGTCCCCCATCCCCTGCAGTGACGAGGAGCCAGAAGGCGCCGTCCTCCCCAAGGACAAGCTGGTGTCTCTGTGCAAGTGCGACCCTGTCCTCCGGTGGATGAGGACCTGCGACCACATCCTGTACCAGGCGCTGGTGGAGATCCTCATCCCGGACGTGCTGCGGCCCGTGCCTAGTGAGCGCCCTGCCCCGACTAGCGCACCCAGTGAACGCTCCGCCCCCTCCTGGCCCCGCCCCCTCCTGACCCGCCCCCACCGCGCCCCCACCGCGCCGCCACTCATCTGGTCTGATTGCTACCCTGGGGACCATCCCAGGGCCTCTGTCCCCACTGGCCCCCGTGGCCTTCGGAGGCTGTGACACACCCACCACTAGGAGGTGCCCGCCTTCTGGCTCCCCACTTAGGAGCTCTCCCTGGGGCTCCCAGGCCCCTGAGGGTGGGGTCCCCACCGCGTGAGAGTGAGGGGGCCGGGCTCTGAGCCTCACTTTCCCAAGGCCTCTCTGTAAACACCTGTGTCTGTTAGCACTGGGGAACCTCCGTGTTTTTGATAAGCTGGCCTGTGCTTTTTATGCCAGTAAAAGGAAAATAGCAAAACCATTGCACTTGTCCTTTGGCCTTGCCTTCCTGGAAACTGTTCAGTGCAATGTTCATTTAGAGTCTCTGTGTTAAGGTTTGAAATTGGGGTATCTTTCTTTTTATAACACTTGGGGGGTTTTTTGGTTTTTCCAAAAAAATGTGTTTCATTTATTGCACGCTGTCTCAAATTTGGAAGTCGGTAGAATACATTTACACACATTTGTGTGTATCAGGGGCTCTCCCCCTCAGCACTGTGGAGTGTGGAGCAGCGTCCCCTCCCCACTGGCTGCCAGAAGCCCCCTGGTCATGGTAGCCACAGATGTACTCAGACATGGTCTTATGTCATCTGGGGCAGGGTCGCCGGGGTGAGAACCGCCAGTGTAGACGGGTAGATAAGCAAAGATGAACGATGCAGGGCTGATACTAGTGTCAGTGTCTACTCGGTGTTCCCACTCAGTGTCTCACTCATAAGAGCCCTAAATTCTCAATCTCTTCTCATCTGTGTTACTTATTCTTGGTGGGGGTGATTTTCATGGCGTGTGCATCTCTTGCACTTGAGCTGATCCTGACAGGTGAGGCTGCCTTTCTCACAATTAATACCATGGCTTGTGTCCCCAGGTACCCTGACACAAGCCATCCGCAACTTTGCCAAGAGCTTGGAAGGCTGGTTGACCAATGCCATGAGTGACTTCCCACAGCAGGTCATCCAGACCAAGGTAATGGTCAGGGTCTGGGCCTCCAGACCACACTGGTCACCCCCGGGGTGCCTTGTGCTGTGAAGGGAGGGGACTCCTCTCTGTCCCGGGGGAACTTGAGGGCCCCTGGGCTCCAGAGGAAGCAGGCTGGTCCCAAGTGTCCTGAAGACAGGGGGTCCTTCCTGAAGGGCCAGGGATGCCTCTGTTGGAGGCCAGTGCTGGGAGTTGCTGGCCTGACAGAAGGTGTCTTTGCTGGGAGACTTTTGGACTGAATTGGAACAAATTGAATATTTCTCTGCTCATTGTAGGAGGGGGATTCAATCTCTTTGTGGCCGCCCTTTTTGCTATACTCTTGACCACAGATGAGACTGTAAAATGTGGAGATGAGGCCTCCTTATGGAGAAGAGGTGATCACGTTCCTATCTCAAGCATTCCTACAGCCTCACACAGGTGGGGCTAGATCTGGGCAATCTGGTCTGCCCATCCCACCGTCAACCGGGAATCAATCCCTGAGGCCAGGGAGTCTCAAACTTCAGGATGCACATGAATTGCCTGGGAAGCTGTTGAAAATTGCAGATTTGAGTAATTCCCTGGAGTCCAGTGGTTAGGACTTTGCAGTTTCATTGCTAAGGACCCAGTTTCAGTCCCTGGTAGGGGAACTAAGATCCTACAAGCCACGTGGTGTGGCAAAAAAATAATAATTAAAAGGTTTTTAAAATACAATTGAAGATTTCCATGCCACACCCCCAGAGTGGCTGGTCCAGTGGTGCCCTGGAATCAGTATTTTTACCATCCACCCCAGAGAGCTGCTGTCCTGAATTCTGCCTCACCCATGCTCGGCATCCACGCTAGATGCCACTCGATGTGTGTCCCTCATTGATCTTCAGTTTTGGGGCCTTTGGGCCTGTCCAGAGGGTGGGTCCCTGCCAGAACCACCCTTCCCCACCCCTCCTCCTGCACTCTCCCGGAGCAGACACGGGCTCACCCCAGGCCTCCTCCCCAGGTCGGTGTGGTGAGTGCCTTTGCGCAGACCCTGCGGAGGTACACGTCCCTCAACCACCTGGCGCAGGCGGCCCGGGCAGTGCTGCAGAACACCTCCCAGATCAACCAGATGCTCAGCGACCTCAACCGCGTGGACTTCGCCAATGTGCAGGTGACTCCTCCCACATGCAAGCGACTTCTCCCAGGCGCCTCCCCCACCAGAGGCGGGCATGGGAACCCATTGGCCGAGCTCCCACGGGCTAGAAAAATGCAGAGACCCACCAAACTTAGCCCACAGCAAACTGGGCACCTCACCGGGGCCCACATTTGTGTTGCATGGGAATGGTTGGGGTTGAAGCCCTCCGCAGCCAGTCTGGGACCCCTAGGTTCTACTCTGTGATCATTCCCCTGGCCTCCAGGTGCTGGGACCAAGACCTTGATCTGTTTTCTTTAAGTTTGCCTTCCCCATGCCAAGTTCATGGTTCTGTTCTGGTCTTAGAAAAGTACAGGCTGCCGTCAGATGGGTCCTGCTGTCATATCTATGTCTAGTTCAGGCCCTGAGCTGATCCATGGAATAAACACACATACCCACAGAGGAGCGGCCACTTAGAAATAACCCAACGGGGACTTCCCTAGTGGTCCTATTGTTAGGACTCTGAGCTTCCAGTGAGAGAGGCACAGGTTCCATTCCTGGTCTGGGAGTTAAGATTCCACATGCTGCTCCAGGAAAGCCCCCGACAAAAAAACCAGAAGGCAAAGATGAGGTACAGACTGGACTTCAGATGCAAGAAACCTGGAAGTAGGCCCTCAAAGCCTAGCAGGTCCCCTCCTAATGCCCTTCTGTCTCCACCCCATGAAGCGGGTGTCATGCTGGAAAAGGCTGAGGGCAGTGGGCATCTGTGTTCATGTGCATCCAGCCGTGGGCCATGCTCAGGACATGTCGCTGACCCAGCACCACCCATGCCCACAGGAGCAGGCCTCGTGGGTGTGCCAGTGCGAGGAGGGTATGGTACAGCGGCTGGAGCAGGACTTCAAGCTGACCCTGCAGCAGCAGAGCTCCCTGGACCAGTGGGCCAGCTGGCTAGACAGTGTGGTCACCCAGGTCCTGAAGCAGCACGCGGGCAGCCCCAGCTTCCCCAAGGCCGCCCGGCAGTTCCTGCTGAAATGGTCCTTTTACAGGTGAGTGTGCGCGTCATCTCCCAGAGAGCTGGGGCAGTGGAGGGGGCCGAGGCCCACAGACGCAGGCCAGCCTTCGGGACTCATTCCTGGGGGCTCCCAGGGGCAGCCCTCCTGGGACTTCAAACTGGGTTACAGACGTTTCTTTTTTTTTAATTAACTTTTTTCATTTAATTCACCATTATTTTTTTAATTAATTCACATTTATTTATTTGTCTGTGCTGGGTCTTAGTTGTGGTGTGTGGGCTCTAATTCCTTGACCAGGGAGTGAACCCAGGCCCCCTGCATTGGGAGCACCAAGTCGTAGCCACTGGACCACCAGGGAAGGCCCAGGTTACAAAGGCTTCTGCAGACAGAAGCCTCCGTTTCGGGCCTCCCTGCTGGGAAGAACACAGCACAAGCCTTTATTTCTGTCCCTGGAGTGTCCCCACAGAGTGAGGTAAAGTAAAGGTCTAGAGAGAACGGGAGGCGCAGATGGTGGTGGGTGAGAACCAGATAGAGAATCGTAGTGAGAGGGCCCAGTGAGGACGGTGACCAACAAAATAGGATGTGACATGAGTCTCTATCCCCTCACTGCCAAGTGCAGGCAAGAGGCAGAGACAGGTATCAACTCCCACAGAGTAGTCCTGGGTCAGGGTTAGGTGGACCTATTTATTTATTTATGGCCATACCACAGCTCGTAGGATCTTAGTTCCCCGACCAAGGATCAAACCCAGCCCCTTGCAGTGGAAAGGCAGAGTCTTCACCACTGGACCACTAGGGAAGTCCCTATGTAGACCTGTTTTAAAATGATATGTGTAACTGTATTATAGGCTTCCCAGACGGCTCGGTGGTAGAGAATCCACCTGCAATGCAGGAGATGAGGGTTCGATCCCTAGGTTGGGAAGATCCTCTGGAGGGGGGCATGGCGACCCACTCCAGTATTCTTGCCTGGAAAATCCTATGGATAGAGGAGCGTGGCAGGCTATAGTCTATGGGGTTGCAAGAGTTTGGCATGACTGAGCAACTACATACAACAAAACTGTATTAGGATTAATTAGACATGTGTGTGCGTGAATGTAAGGAGATTCATTTCTGGGAATGGGCTGTCGTGATCACAGGGCCAGCATATCTGAAGTCTGTACAGAGGGCCGGCGGGCTAGACACTTAGGTGGGAGCAGACACCACCGTCCACAGGTGGGACTTCTTCCTCCTCAGGGAAACTTCACTTTTGCTCCTAAGGCCCCTCAGCTGACCAGAGGCCCAGCCCTGGTGTGGAGGCTGAGCTTCTCCACCTCTAGTCGAGAGATGGTGGACAGGATCCACGGCAACTCCTACTCACACTGAACTGAATCACTGCCCATCACTGACACAGAAAACTAACCGCCACAGAAAGTAAACATGGGAGAGAAACAGAGGGATGAAGAAAGAAGAATGTGAGAAAGAGAACCCATGAAAGAAAAAAGAGAAAGAAAAAAGACATGGAAGGATCAATTTATGCAGTTTACTATCCAGTTGATAGGAAATTTTTTTTAAAGAGAGAAATTGGAGGGAAAGAGAATAATAAAAACATAATCAAGAAAACATCTCAGGAACTTCCCTGGTGGTCCAGTGGTTAAAGCACTTGCAAGGCAGGGGATGCAGGTTCGATTCCTGGTTGAGGAACTAAGATCCCACGTGCCTCAGAGCAGCTAAGGCCATGCCATAAGTACTGAGCCCATGAACCACAGTGAAGACCCTGTGAAGCCAAAATTTAAAGAAAGAAAAGAAGACATCTCAGAACTAAGGGCTCAAGTTTCCGAGAGCTGCCGGGTTCCCCGCCCAGTGAAGGAGCCCGAGCCTCCCTGTGACATTCAGACGCCGAGAGGAGCCGATCACGATGGTTTTCAGAGAAAAGACAGCAGATCACATGTATGCCAGGAGTCAGAGCAGCGTCCAGCCCAGGGCACCGGGGGACAGTGTCATCAGGATACCCAGGGAAAACTATTCCTCCCCTGCAGTTCTCACCTGAGCAGACAGAAGCAGGAAACTCAGGCTGAGGAGGACCAGCCCAAAGAGGCCCTGAAGGGCATTCCAGTCCCAGGCAGTGATAAACACAGGGAAATGGATCGTTTTGTCACAGTTGAGCGCAGGAAGACCACCAGCTGTTCTAGGCGCTGGACAGCCCGTCAGCCCACTATAGCTGAGGGTTCAGATCCCTGTCTGCCTGGCAGTCTTCCAGGCCCACTCGTTTGCAAACTCAGCAGAGCTGAGCAGAGGGGACAGAAGGCTATTTACTGTCCGACTCTTATCAGCGTATTCTGACCCCTCAGATGGCTATGCTGGCCCAGTCACTCCCAGTCCCCAGCTCCGTCCTCATGTGCTGCCATCCTCAGGTCCTTTGCACTGCCCTCCCCTGCCCGGAACGTGCTTTCCCCAGGGAGCCGTGTCGCCCGATTGTCCTCAGAGAAGCCTGCAGGCCTCTCGTGTGAGGTAGCACACCCCTCCTCAGCCTCCGTCCCCTGCACCCGATTTTCTTCCACTGCCTGTCACCTTGTCCTTTTCTGTGATTGTCTGTTGCCTGTCTCCTCAATGATCAGGAGTGTCCCCTCAAGAGCCAGGATGTTTACTCTTGTTCACTCCTGCATCCTCAGCATCTGAATGTTGAATGAACAAATGAATGAACAAGAAAGGGACTGTGAGCCTGATTGGCAGTGTGGCTCAGTTACACAGCCTTTGCATTCGTGAAAGTTCTTCAAGTGACCTTTGCTTCCTACAGTGCTCATATGGGACCTCCCTGGTGGTCCAGAGCTTAACAATCTGTCTGCCAATGCAGGGGACACTAGTTTGATCCCTGGTCTGGGAAGATTCCACATGCCTCGGAGCAACCAAGCCTGTGTGCCACACCTACTGAAGGCCCCGTGCCTAGAGCCCATGGTCTGCAGCATGAGAGGCCACCGCAGTGAGAAGCCCGCACACCACAAGCAGAGAGCCACCCCTGCTTGCTGCCAACTAGAGAAAGCCCATGAGAAGCAACAAAGACCCAGCACAGCCAAAAGTAATAATAAATTTTTAAAAAATCACGTGCTCCTTTGGACACAGGCACTCACCACCTGGTGCTTCATAGGGCATCTTGAAGCCACAGCCAGCTGGAGCCAGCTCTCCATTTCCACTGCTGAACCCACGTGCCTTCAGAGTGTGTCTGTCTACACACTGGCCCCAGAAGATGCAAAAAGAATTAAGTAAAACTGATTTGTTGTCAGTTGTCTTTACTGACTTGCAAGTAACAAGTTTCAACCTGTTAAAAGATAAACTGAGGCTTGTTAACTTTTCAAAAGATTCTCTGAGCAAACATCGCTTTGAACTGAGCAGTGCCAAAGCCAAGATGGTGAGGAGCCTCCTCGGCCAGGAACAAGGGGAGAGGTGTCCACACAGAAGGAAATGATCTGGGGCTGCGGCTGGCACACACTGACTGGTCTGACTGGTTGTGGATGCTTGGACTCAAGGGTGACGCCCCTTGAGTTCCATTACTGTCACGGGTGGTATTCACCTTGTGGGTCCCCTCCTGTCTCGTCCCTTCCTGCTTCTTTTCTCGCTGTCACAGCAATTAGACATCACCGAGGGTAGGTGGGTTCTGAGATGGCGTATCTGGGTGTTGGGGGCCACATGGCAGATGTGTGTGTAGGCCAGAGTGTATGGTTGGGCACCACATTAAAAAATCCCTTTAGACTCCGCTATAAAGAATGAGATAGGAGAGCTCTTTGAGGAACAAAGTTTTCCAGATGGCACACAGCATATCAAAACAGACATAACTAATAAAACTTTATTTATGGACACTGAAATGTGAATTCAGGTACTTCTCACATGTTGTGGAATAGAATTCTTTTATTTATGTATTTATTTTGAAGTATAGTTAATTTGCATTACTGTACCAATTAGAATTTTTTTGACACTTTTTCCCTCAACCATTCAAAACTGTGAAAACTGTTCTCGGCACGCGGGCCATCCCAGACCAGGTGACGGGCTGGATCCAGTCTGGATCAGCCACAGTTCGCCAGGTCCTGCTTTTGGATGAAAGCAGCGAAGGCACCTGAACTTGAGCCTTGCTTTTAGACGCGGACATGGGCACGGCAGGGGAGGTAGGGCGGTCCAGGCGGCTGGCTGGCGCCCTGTGGGCCAGCTTGGGGCTGGAGGGGAGCCTGGTGTCCCGGAGGTGCCAGCCCGTGTCTGCTGCTCCAGCTCCATGGTGATCCGAGACCTGACCCTGCGCAGCGCCGCCAGCTTCGGCTCCTTCCACCTCATCCGGCTGCTCTACGACGAGTACATGTTCTACCTGGTGGAGCACCGGGTCGCCGAGGCTACTGGAGAGACACCCATTGCTGTGATGGGAGAGGTGAGCGCTCCCCCCACCCCGGGACAAGAGGGCAGGCCTCGGGGTCCAAGAGGACGCACTTGAGGGGCTCGGGTGTGGGGGGTCAGCGGGTGGGAGAGAGTTCGCCTGCGCCAGTAGGGTGACGCAGGCAGGCCCTGGCTCCTCTGTCACCTTATGAGACCCCAGGCAGGATGTCCTGCCTCCAGGGGGTAGAATACACAGAATGTAACAGTTACCTCTTTAATCATCTCACAGTAAACAATCAAGTGGTATTTAGTACATTCAGAACGTTGTGAAACCCCACCTACCTTGTTCTAGAACATTCCACCACCCCAAAAGAAAACCCCATGCCCATTGGCAGTCCCCCCATGTACCCCTTCCTCCAGTCCCTGGCAGCCACTCGCCCCTCGCTGTCTCTGTGGATCTGCCTGTTCAGGAGCTTTCCCAGCCGTGAGTCACACCCTGTGTCCTCCTGTGTCTGCTGCTCTTCCCGAGCATCGTTTGCTCAGGGTCTGTCCATGTGGAGTGTCAGGGCTTCTCTCCTTACGGCAGAGGACTCTCTGCCTGGCTCTTCACCACTTTGCTGATCCATCACCTGTTGCTGGAGGGGCTGTTTTCAGCTTCTGCTGGTGGGGTCATGCCGCTGTGAGCATTTCTGTACACGTTTTGTTTGAACATCTGCTTGAATTTTGGGGGGTACATACCTGGGAGTGTATTTCTGGGTCATGACGGGTTTGTTTTGCGGAAGAAATAAGGTGATTTTAGTGCACTAAAATCTTAAAATCTTAGACATTTTAGTGCATGATAAGCCATGAGAAACAGCGGCCATTCCTTCCCTGAGCACTCAGAGGTCACAGCCTCTGTGCCCTTGCTGGCCTGGGCAGTCGGCACCCCCTCTGCCCTCCAGCCACTCCCAGGCAGGGCCCAGAGAGTGTCAGAGGGGACAGCCCAGGCCCCCGCAGCTTCAGGGCTGTTTCTCAGGGCATAAGCCCCCTCACTTACAAAGCCAGAATCGGCTTCCACTGGAGACACGGCTCACCTTCCCCGGGTCCGCTCTGCGGAGCCCCTGACTCTGAGCCTCTTTCTTGCAGTTCAACGACCTGGCCTCCCTGTCGCTGACACTGCTGGACAAAGGTGGGTGTGTCTGGGCGTTCCCGCCCATCCTGGGCACAGTAGGGGGGGGGGGCGGCCCCTAAGAAGGGGCCCTGGGCAGCAGCCCGCAGGCCCACCGGGGCGCAGAGCAGAAGCCCCACCCGCTCCGCTCCTCCTAGATGACTGTCCTGCTCCCCTGGCCGTCCACTCCAGGCCCGGAGGAGCAGGGCCACGGACGGGACTGGGGCAGCTCCCTCCACGTCTGGAGAGGGAGTGGGCAGGTGGGGCAGTGAGCACCCCTGGGGCCCATTTCCTGCCCCATGGGGATGGGAGGCCCAGAGCCCAAGGGGGACCCTACCAGGCACATGACCCAGGCGCGTGGGCGCTGGTCGAGGGTGGTTGTGAGGAGGAAGACCCCCAGTCAGCCCAGACCCAAGCCAAGGCAGGGCCCTCACCTGGCCTGTTCGTGCCCCCTACCCCATCCAATCCCACAGATGACATCAGCGAGGCCCACTCGGAGAGCCGAGGACGGGGCGAGCCCCTGGTGAAGCGGGAGCGCAGCGACCCCAACCACCCCCTGCAGGGCGTCTAGCTGGCCCCCCAGCTCCAGGCCCGAGCTCTGCCACAATAGTGCCTCTTAGACAAGTGACCTTTACTCCGAGTCCAGGGGCCCTGGGCCAGGGTGCCCGTAAAGGACACCCTCCTCTTCCTCAAGACGGAAACCGCTGTGACCCTGGAGGAATTGTGCGCCGGGCGCCCAGGGCCTGAGCTGCACTCTGGGAGCCCAGCCCACCCTCTCCTCCTCCTGAATCTCCTCCCCCTTCCGCACACACCCCGGCTCAGAGCTGGAAGGGGCCGGGCCATGTTGGCCAGTCGCTGTCTCCCCTCCCAGCTGGGAACTCCAGTGGCCCTGGGGAGGAAGGGGGTGTCCCGCAGCCCGCCTCGTGCCCTGCGGAGGGCAGGGGCCGTCTTGATCCTTGCCTCGTGGCTGCCCAGCTGGTCCCCGAGAGCCTGGTCTCTAGATGCCAAAGGGTTCAGAAGCAGCTGCCAAATGACCCCTGGACGGGGCTCAGCCCACAGCCCCACATGGCTCAAGAGCCAGTCACCAAAACAGACTCCCTGGTGCCAAGACCCAGTGGGACCTTTCCGTCAAACCCAGAAGCTTGATCTGCAACCAGAAGGATTGGGATTCTGCCCAGGTTCATAGCCAACATCAAGCTCAACAGTGAAGTCTGAAATGAGTTTGTTCCAAGGAGTTCAGGAGATCAGTGTCCCCTCGGCGCCTTCAGAGGGCAGCCCGTCCAGCCAAGCCTGTGCATGAACAGCTGTGTCTAAGCCCCGCTTCACAGAACCTTCCAGATTGCCTGCCTTTGAAGAAGCGATCCCTGAGCGCTGTGACTCCAGCAGGACCCATCTTGAACTGCTCAAAGTCCAAATTCTTCTCTGGGGACAAGCGAACCCCAAGACCAGGCCCAGCCCCGAACTCTACACACTCCGTGTCTGTGTTCCTCATCATTGAACCCGCTGCACCAATGAGCCTGGGCCAGAGGGCTGCCCCCGCAGCAACTGCAGAGAAGACAACAAGCCTCTGGTCTAGGAAGGCCCGGCTTCGTTTCTCTTTTTGAAAATATGTTCATACCGATAGTTTTGTGCTGTAGTTGTTATTAGAACGTTCCTTATGAATGTGTATATGGCAGTATATCCTGTCCCCAATGTTGTTTTCTCATGCGTGCAGAAGGTACTAATGGAAACTCACGTGGCCTTGAAAACCCTACTTCTCGACAAGCAGCGCTGTGCATCCGTGTCCTCGAGTGCACTCAGCGGGGAGCTGAGAGGAAAGATGAGAAATCTCATTCTAAGAAACCAGCGGCCTGTCGTAGTGATCACCAAGTGCATCTACTCTCAAGCCTGCAGACTCAGATGAACTCAGACAAAAGGAATGTCTTTAAAGATACATCTCTTTCCTGGGAGACGGTCAAGTTCATGGCTCCTAGATGGTGATGCCTGCCTCTTCCTCCACGTTTCTGCCTTACGCCCTGTCTAGTCCTTTGCCGGATTCCATGAGGAGGAATATAAACGACATAAAGACACCAGACTTTCGAGCCCACCCTCGGTTTTTGTTGCAATAAACACACTGAATGTACCCACTGAGGGTCACGGTCCACACTCCCCCCTGCCCCGGCCCCCAGTGGCCCTGGAAGATACAGCACCCCTTCCCGCAGGCCCCTAGTCCTGGGACAGCGGAGTGGCCCAGACCTGGGCTCCGCGAGCCTGGGAAGGGGGAAGAAGGAAATGGCGCTTTCCTCCGGCTCCCTGAGGAATGTTCCAGAAGGGGCCGTTTCCCCAGGCCGAGAGGACAACAAAGCAGCTCAGCCCAGGATGGGCAACACAGTGTGTGCAGACTAGAGTCGTTCAGAGATGCAGAATAAACCCAGGCTCCAGCCGCTGACGCAGCCCATTGGGTGTCTACCGGGTGTATCTGGTAAAGTGGGGGGGGCGTGGGGTGGACCTCAGAAGCCCCTAAGAATCAACGCCTGAGCCTCTTCCAGAATCACCAGGCCCCAGCCCCAGAGAGCCCGGCTTGTGGCATTAAGGTGGGGGCTGGGCATTCATAACTGTTGCCACCACCCTCTCTGCAGGGGGTGGGGGTGGTCATGGGGGGGCCCAACACAGGGGGTTGTGGGACTTTGGAGAAACCCTGCAGAGAGGAGCAATGCGCTCAGGAACCGGGAAGGACCCAGGGGCAGGAGGACGTTCTAGAAACCTGGACGCAGTTCTCAGTTGCCAGTAAAAGCTGCTTCTAGGGGGGAAGGCAGGTGCCCCAAACACTGCCGGAGTTGCTCAGCCTCAGCCCCAGCCTAGGCCCCTTTGTCCCAAGTGGTGGCCCGGGCGACTCCAGGCGACATGAAAACTATCCTGAGCTGGGAACCCCAGGGCCTGTGCTTGGCTTAATGCCTCTGCGATCACCGTCTTGAAATTCCTCAGAATTTTCCACCAAAGTGCTGGTGCTTTCATTTCACACTGGGCCTCACAAATACTGTGGCCAGTTCTGGGGAGGAGCTCCCAGGACCCCAGCACACAGTCTCCCCCTCAGCCAGTGGCCAGGCCCCAACTCCATGCAATACCCTGCCAGGCTCTGAAAAGCAGCGGAGCCCAGAAGCGTCCCCACCCTCTTGTGGTTCAGGATTTCAGCCCATGGCCCCTGAGCAGCATCAAGCCACACCTCCAACCTTCCCCCTCAGAGATCCCAGCCGGGGCCAGGCAATAGGGTCCCTGGTAGGAGAGGGCACCTTAGGGCCTGGGTGGCTGGTGAGGCTCATGAGCACAGATGATGCCCACATGATTCCTGCCCCAGGAGGCAGAGAAGAGAGAGAAGGAGGGGAGCCCACTGAAGGTTCCTGGGTCACTGAGTCCCTTGATGGCCCACTGGGTAGTGGCAGGTGGGCAGGTAGTGGCACAAGAGGGACCTAGTCCTACCAAGAGCCTCCAGGAGGTCCTGACCAATCACAGTGACTTCTCTGTAGATGCTCTCGTCCATTCTTTTTGACAGTCTTCCAAGGTAGGTATTAACCACCCCCATCCACTGTCATACCCATGGGAAAATCGAAAGTTACTGGCTGGAAAGCAAGCAGGATGGCTGGAGCACCAGCAGCCATACTGGACCTTGAGGTGGACATCATACAATAAGGGTGGCAAAGGAATGAGACAGAAGGAGCCTGGGTTCCCAGGGCCGCAGTGACCCCTCCAGTCAGAGTTCAGTAAACCACCATTTGGGAGGGTTGCAGGGGGACCCATTGATGTTCCTGCTCCTAAGAACTCTCTGGTGGCAAGAACCCGGAAGCAAAGTATGGGGTGCACCTGCATGACACACACACGAGTGCTGAGTGCTGAGAGAGTCTCCCAGGCTGGAGTGGCACCCCCCACACCAGTTTTCCTCCCACTTCCCTGGCTGGCCCTCTGTCCCCACTCCCTATACCGGGTCCTGCTCCTTCCACACCCTCTGTGACCTCGTCCACATGCTGCTGACTTGCTCAGCATCTGACAATCCAGACCTGCCTAAATCCCCATCCCACTGCCCAAGAGCCCCCATTAATTTTTATTGGAATATCACCGACTCGATGGACATGAATTTGAGCAAGCTCCGGGAGTTGGTGATGGACAGGGAAGCCTGGCATGCTGCAGTCCATGGGGTCGCAGAGTCGGACATGACTGAGCGACTGAACGGATGGTTGCTTTACAATGTTGCATTCGTTTCCACTGTACAGTAAAGTGAATCAGCTATACATAGATCCTTTTTTTAATTTCCTTCCCATCTAGGTCACCACAGAGCATTAACTAGAGTTCCCTGTGCTACAGAGTAGATTCTCAGCAGTTATCTATTTTATACAGTGTCAGTAGCGTAGAGTGTCAATCCCAGTCTCCAAATTCACACAACCCCAAGAGCCCCTGTTTTAGACATGGCACACCCCTAATGCTGCGAGTGCAATCAGAGCATTCTGCACCTACTTCATCTGGTTCCAAGAAGATGCCCCGCCTCAACTAGTACAGAGCCTGAGTCTCCACAGAAGAGACTCATTCATTTAGACAGAGCTCAACTGCTTTTTACCTGGGGCCCGGCTTTTTTTCATCCCAGTCCTCTGCCGCCCCCCTGTGGTCAGTTTGTGACACCGCCTCTTCCTTTACACGGGAAACCAGCCAACTCCGATTTTGCCTAGAGGGGAGGCTGTTTTGTTTACACTGAATTGCAATCATGCCTGGAAAGACCAGAGCTAGCTGTCTCTCTTTCACATCCCAGCTCTCCTCCTCTTTCTCAAGTATTTCCTGTTTATTTATCTCCCTACAAGATATTCAGTAACTGTTACTACAAAAAGAAAAACAGTAACCTGACCAACACCAAGTGATCTGAGTTGTCATCAGTAATGATACAAATCGCCATCAGGTGCCTTCCGAATAGGTTATTCTGTTATTCCCACCCAGAAATCATCACCCGAATTTAATTAGGAGGAAACATCCAGCACCCAAAATGAAGGCGTATTCTACAAAACACCTAGGAGTATTCCTGACTAGGGGCTTCCCTGGTGGTTCAGTGGTAAAGAACCTGCCTGCAATGCACGCAGCATAGGTTCGATCCCTGGTCCAGGGAGATCCCTGGAGATGGAAATGTGAACCCACTTCAGTATTCTTGTCTGGGAGATCCCGTCGACAGAAGAGCCTGGTGGGCTACAGTCCTTGGGGTCCCAAAAGTCAAACACGACTTAACAACTAAACAATAACAGTTCCTCACTAGGGTCATGGTGAAGGAAAAATAAGACAGGGGAATTAATCCAGACTAAAGGAAACCCAAGGAGAAATGACATCTAAATGCAACAAGGGGGACTTCCCTAGCAGTCCAGTGGTTAAGACACTGCATTTCCATTGCAGGGGGCACAGGTTCCATCCCCTGGTCTGGGAACTAAATCCCACATGCCGTGCAAAGCCAAAAGACAGAAAATAAAAACTAAGCAAGGAATCCTGGACTGGATCCTGGGATAGGAACAAGACACTGGCAGTCAGCAGACGAGACCTGAATAGGTTTGTAATCACTCGTGTCCT